AAGATGGACTTAAAGGGAGACTTTAAGGATGAAAGACAAACAAACACCCCAAGAATAGAAATCAATTTTTCACATGGTGGGGAAGTTTTCACCTGTGGTATAATCTAGAGGAGCAAGCTTTCAGCTAACTTTGTGCTGAAAATAAATCTACAAAATTGTCCATGCATATTCAAAATGCTAGGGTTTGAGGTGTGACCTCACCTTTGCTCAACACACCCAAGGTCCTAGGTTCCATCCTTAGCACAACATTCACACACAAAAAGCTAAGTAAATCAAAATAAGGTGCAGAAAGAAAATAGTTGCCAGTAAGGAACCCTACAACAAATGAAAATACTAGTTAAAGTACGGGCTAGGGAGATGTTCAGTTAGCCAAGTGCTTGCCTTGAGAACACAAGGACTGAATTCAGTACCCAGAACCCACATAAAAGGTGGGTGTGCGGGTTGGAGAGATAGATCAGCAATCAAGAGCACTGGTTAGATCCAAGTTCAATTCCCAGCACCCACATGGTGGCTCACAACTATCTGTAACTCCAGTCCCAGGAGATCTGACACCCTCTTCCAGGCATGCAGGGGTGCACAGACATACACACAGATGAAACACTCATAGGCATAAAATAGTAAAATAAATAAATCTAAGAAGAATTTTTAATGGGTGTATCAGCATACAGCTCCAATTCCAGTGCCGGGGGGACAGAGGCAGAAGAATGCCTGCAGTTTGCTTGGCTGCCGTCTCACCTAATCAGCAAGTCCTAAGTCTTAGCAAGAGATCCAGTCTCAAAGACAGATAAATGGATGATAGATAAGATAGATGACAGATAGATAAATATACAGAGAGATAGATGATAGATAGATAGATATAGATAGACAAATCAATAACTAAAGTGCAGGTTGACTGAAGAATAGCACTGAAAGAATAGATTTACCTCTGAATTAACATGCCGCTCCTACACACCTACACACGCTAAATAAATAAGCAAATGAAAATAAAATAGAGCAAATTAAAAACTCTGATGCATAGCAAATGTGAAATTTGTCACCAGGAGAACTGCATCAAAAAAAAAAAAAAGAAAGAAAAGAAAAGAAAAAGAAAGAAAAAAAAAGCTAGGTGAGCAGCAAGAGAGAAAGCTTCAAGGTTGAGGATTTGGTCTGTGCAATCATGAGGACCAAGGTTTGGACTCCAGCAGCCATGTAACAAGCTGTACAAATCACAAACGCATGTAACTGCAGTTCCCAGAGAGCCAGTGCCTTCTTCTGCCCTCAGCACGCACCTGCACACACATATGCATACACTCACACACATACATATGTTAAAAATTAACTAAAGTGAACACTCCGATGCCGCTGCCTCCCACCTCTTGCCACGCAGACAGCCGCTGCCTTTCCTGCCGAGGAGATTCTCTGTCTCTGTGGGGGTTTGGTTCTCTTGTGGTGGGCACTCTGGTCGGAGGCTGCAGGTCTTTAGTTGCAGGCTGTGCTCCTGCAGCCGCACTGGTACCTCCAAGCCAGAAAGGACACCCTGTGAATATGAGGTCATGACCGAGGTCCTTCCGTGACATCCACGCATGTTCATTGTTTCCAGACTGGCCACAGCCTTCTGGTAAGTTCTACCACTGAGCAGACCCCTTGTCCCCTAAACTTGGCCTTTCTCAGTTAGGGCTTAAATGAGCTGAAGCCTGTCTTACTGTGTCATTTGGTTATGATTTGCATTTCTCTGTTAAGTATAATTTTTATAAATAAATTGAAGTTGTTTTTTTTTCAAATATGAGGATGTTTTTAGAAATCTAAATTATTTGCAGCTTTTAACAAATACATCGCATTGATTTTGTGATTTTTTGAATGTTTGCTCACATTCATGCCTTCTTTGTTCTGTCCAACGCTGCCTTTGCACACTAGTCAGGCATCAAGCTACACCTCCAGCCAAATACTCTTGTTTTTACTGACCTGCTGGGGTGTTTTGCTGTTATTATTAGATTGTGTTGTTGGGCCCCATATTCAGGCCCTCAATTTCAGATGATTTCCCTGAGGCCGCACTGGCACCAGGGAGCCAAGATAACATTCTCTCTACTAGCTACCCACAGTTCCACAGTGGACATAGGTAAAACCAGATTCTCTGCCTGCAGACTATCCTTAGGGCACACCTAGAATCCCTTAACTGCCCACCATGTCCTGGCCTTCCTGTTCTGACCCATTACTCTGCTGCTTCCCGGAGATCACATAAGCAATAGAGAACCCGGTAAGACCTCGCCCATGTCTGCCAATCTTCTTCTTCTTCTTCTTCTTCTTCTTCTTCTTCTTCTTCTTCTTCTTCTTCTTCTTCTTCTTCTTCTTCTTCTTCTTCTTCTTCTCCTCCTCCTCCTCCTCCTCCTCCTCCTCCTCCTCCTCCTCTTCTTCTTCTTCTTCTTAAGCCACAATTATTTATTTATTATTTTTATTTCTCATATTAGTTTATTCACTTTGTATCCCAGCTGTAGCCCCCTCCCTCATTCCCTCCAAATCCCATCCTCCCTCCCTCATCTCCTCCTGTGCCCCTCCCCAAGTCCACTGATAGGATAGGTCCTCCTCCCATTCCCACTGACCCTAGCCTATAAGGTCTCATCAGGACTGGCTGCATTGTCTTCCTCTGTGGCCTGGTAAGGCTGCTCCCCCATCAGGGGGAGGTGATCAAAGAGCCAGCCACTGAGTTCATGTCAGAGAAAATCCTTGTTCTCCTTACTAGGGAACCCACTTGGAGACTGAGCTGCCAGGGGCTATATCTGTGCAGGTTTTAGGTTATCTCCATGCATGGTCCTTGGTTGGAGTCTCAGAAAAGACCCCTTGACCAAGATTTCTTAGTTTTGTTGCTCTCCTTGTAGAGCTCCAGTCCCTTCCAGGTCTTTCTATCTCCCCCTTCTTTTATAAGATTCCCTGCACTCTGCCCAAAGTTTGGCTATGAGCATGTGCTTTGATACACTGCCGGGTAGAGTCTTTCAGAGGCCCTCTGTGTAGGCTCCTGTCCTGTTTCCTGTTTTCTCCCTCTTCTGATGTCTGTCCATTTGCCTTTCTGAGTGAGGATTGATCATCTTATGCTGGGTCCTCCTTCTTCCTTAGCTTCTTTAGGTGTACAAATTTTAGTATGTTTATCCTATATTATATGTCTAATATCCACTTATAAGTGAGTATATACCATGTGTGTCTTTCTGTTTCTGGGATACCTCACTCAGGATGATCTTTTCTAGATCACACCATTTGCTTGCAAATTTCATGATTTTCTTGTTTTTAATTACTGAGTAGTATTGCATTGTGTTAATGTACACAATTTCTGTATCCATTCCTCAGTTGAGTGGCATCTGAGTTGTTTCTAGGTTCTGGCTATTATAAATAAAGTTGCTACGAACATGTTTGAACAAATGTCCTTGTTGTGTACTTGAGTGTATTTTGGATATATGCCCAGGAGTGGTATAGCTAGATTTTGAGGAAGCACTATTCCTAATTGTCTGAGAAAGTGCCAGATTGATTTCCAAAATGGTTGTACAAGTTTCAGCAAATGGTGCTGGTCTAACTGGATGTCTACATGTAGAAAAAAGCAAATAGATCCATATTTATCACCCTGCACAAAAGTAAAGTCCAAGTGGATCAAAGACCTCAACATAAAACTAGATACACTAAATCTGTTAGAAGAAAAAGTGAGGATGAGCCTTGAACTCATTGGCACAGGAGACAATTTCAACAGCACAGGCTCTAAGAGCAACAATCAATAAATGGGGCCTCATGAAACTGAAAAGCTTTTGTAAAGCAAAGGACACTGTCATCAGAACAAAACGATAGCCTACTGACTGGAAAAGGATCTTCACCAGCCCTATGTCTGTTTAACTCAAGAAGTTAAACAGCAACAAATCAAGTAATCCAATTTTAAAAATGGGATACAGGGATAAACAGAGAATTCTCTAGAAAGGAATATTGAATGGCAGAGAAACATTTAGGGAAATGCTCAACAATCTTAGTCATCAGGGAAATGCAAATCAAAACTACCCTGAGATTCCATCTTACACCCATCAGAATGGCTAAAATCAAAAACTCAAGTGACATTACATACTGGAGAGAATGTGGAGAAAGGAGACCCCTCCTCTATTGCTGGTGGCAATGCCAACACTTCTTAAAGCATAACTAATGGCCCTCAACTTCCCACTGTGCCCTGGGCTCCATATTCCACCCTGATATTTCAGCTGCTTCCCGAGGCCATCCTAGTACTAGATCCTTGTGTGGGAACACGTCCTCTTCCTCTTGATTCCATGGTTTTGTTGCTGCTGTTTTCTTATTTGCTTGAGATGGTGGCTCATGTCTCCCAGGCTGGCTTTAAGCCTGAGATGGCCTTGAAATTCTGATCTTCCTGCCTCTCTCTTCTAAAGTGGAAAGTGCTCAGCACCTCTGTTATTCCTGGGAAGTGCTGGCTCACAGAAACACTTAGATAAAAGCCTGTGTGTGTTTTCTATCTACCACTTAGATAAACAGAGGGGCTTGTGTGCGCTCCCAGCCTCCTAAGAGTGTTTCCTAGTGCCAAGGTAACCTTTTAGTGACCGTGTACTTTGCTGCAAGTGAGCTATGAGTAGGCACAGGAGCTGGAATGGGGACAGGTCACTTATGGTAGTGACAGAGCTGGGGGTCAAAGATGGCACAAGGGGATCAGGCATTGGTCATTTCCTCCGTGTTTATAAATGGGCTGTTAAGTTCATAGATAGCTCTGCTGGATGATACAGAAACAGTGAAATATTCAAATGTAACACAGAAAAAACAGACACATGTCTGTCAGAGAACAAGCAGCATTTGGAAACGCACTTTTTTTCCTTCGGGGTGAGATTATAGGTATGTAAGGAAAGCCAGCTTGGAGGTCAAGGGCTGTGTGGTCTGTGGGCAAAGGGCAGAGCAGGGCAGGGTGGGCATACTCCCTCCTTAGCTGCCCATGAAGATAGAAGGCTCCCGTTGCCAGCATGCTGGAGTTTGGAGGGTCCTCCCTGTGTGGGAAGCTAGATGAGGCGCATCTTCATCTCAGAAACCTTGTAGCTGTAGTTGTACCCTCTCCATGTATTCCAGTTGACACCATTCGCATAGCTCTTATGGGGACCCCCAAGGTAGAGGCCATTCAGGTTGGCAGTGTGACATTCTGTGTACCACCAGCCTCCACGGTAAGTCAGTGCACAGCTGGAAGCAGCCTTGTCGTTGTCTTGGTCTTTGGTGGAGAAGACCTGGTTGTTGTGGAGAGTCAGGGAGTCACCTGTTCAGAAAGAACCTGAGTCATGTAGATGCTAGACACCTGATTGACAGCCCCATCTCCTGCCTGTAACTTTCCTATCCTCAGTTGGAAAATGTATTGGTTGAGGTCCAGGCGAGGGACCCAGCTTCTCAAGCCTCAGGAAAGAATGCATCAGCTATGACCCCTCTGACTGGTCCAGTAAGTCCCTGGCCATTGTCATCTCTCTCCCTAACCACACCATCTGTTCCCTCGGGGACCTTCTGAACAGCACCAGTGGGACTGGCTCTCTTTTTGCTGCAGACTACGTCTCTTTCTAGGCCTTCTCTTGACTTTCCTCTTGCCCTAGCTGTCTATCAGTAGGCACTGAATGGCCTCACGCCTCCAGGACTCATCCTGTTCCACCTCCATGTTGGGCGTGCAGCTTGCAAGGAGCCTCAGCTTTCCCACTGACAGAACACGGTCAGCACTCCTCACTTTTTTTCTCCTAAAAGTCCCACGTGAGATGGTGCAAACTGGGTACATAAATTTCAGAGCCGTCACCATCAATGTTTCTGAGGAAATGGCCTGCCTCACTTTGCTGCGGGCTTAGCAGTTATAGTGGTCATGCCTCCACAGCCTCCCCAAGGCACACTGGGAATCTCTCCAATCCACTGTCCCCAGGTGCAGATGCTGTCGGATGCACTTTCCAAACCAGAGGTCCTTATGGGAAATAAGGGCTGTTGTGATTTGGCGATCAAGTGTCCCCTAAAAGCTGTGTGGGATGAAGGCTAGGTTGAGTGCAAGCAGTGTTTGGGGGTCGGGTGATTGGATTAGGAGAGCTGAGGTCTTGCCAGTGGATTAGTCACTGATAGATTCCTAGTAGACCATAGGCAGATGATGACACTGAGAAAACAGGTTAGAGGAGGGGACCACTAGGACCTGCCTTTGAAGGGTGTTCCTCCAGCCCCTTTCTTTGCTTTCTGTTGGCCCTAAAAAGAGAGGCTTTGTTCCATTACATGCTTCCATCATAACCTCATCTTGGGTCCACAGTAAAGGGTCCAATTGACTAAGGACTAAAACCATGAGCCAAAATTAATCTTTCTTCATTTTGAGTTTACTTCCTTTAGTTTTCTGTCACAGAGATGGAAGTCTAGCTAACTTAGTGTCCCAAAGGTACTCCTTTTGGGAAACAGGGCTTTAGCATTCTCTTTTCTGACTTCATCAAGGATGGTAGTCAGTGATCCTCAATCATTATGCAATGGGGCTGGGTATGGGCCCTTAGTTCTGGGCCATGGGGCAGTCTTGAGGGTGCTAACAGACCACATTTCATGATCCCTCATGTGACATAAAGATGAAGATATTAGCATTTTGCAGATGGTGACCTGGGGCTTAGAGCCGTGGACCCAGCTCAAGGCCACCACAGGAGAGATGAAAACGGGTCTTTCTACTCCCAGACTGGTTCAAACTGGTTCATCTCACAGACCCTCATCCCACACCTCCACTGTCTCCCTGAAGCTGCTTACCAGCACCACCCCCGACAAACTCTCCTAGGATAAGCTTGTATTTCTCCTCCTCTCCCTGGAGCTGGAAGGAGCGGTACTTGGCAAAGTTATGATTGCCGTCGAAGTCTGTGAGATCCACCCTCAGCTCCCTGGTTCCTGCAGGGAGTAGAGGAGAGCTGTTAAGTCTCAGTTTTTGCAGTGACCTGCCGCCACGCATGAGAGGTGGCAGTTAGAACATATCTGAATGAGACTTGAACTGGGAGGCCCAAGGGAGTTCCCCTGGGCAGGTGCCATCATCTTTTGGTCACAGGAGTACCTCAGGGGTGCTCCGTATTTCTAGGCACCTTCTATCTGTTCTACAGCCAGTACCTGAAAACCCATTGACAGTGTTCCCTTGGCATGACCCAGCATGCTTTATTCTGTGAATTTTCCCAGAGGGCTGTGCTTTCTAGTGCACTAGCCTGAACCTAGATGTACAGGGTTTTGTGTGTGTGTGTGTTTGTTTTTGTTTTAATTGAATGCGCAGGAGGAAATATAATGAGGTGTCCTGACAGTAGCTAAGGGACAAAAGGCTATGTGATTTTCAGTGGATCATCAGACAGGCCATGCATGAGCTAGTGTTTTGTACCACAGTGGGGCGAGAAGGGACTTGGGAAGCCTGCTCTCTGTGGGAAGTTAGAGGCAAGGGGAACTTCTGTAGGACACAGAGGCAAGTGTTCTGCGTGAATTAATAGCTAAAGAGGAGAAGGGAGGCCCCCAAGACTATTTGTGTACCTCTTGTGTTGGGTCCTGAGACGTCAATAGCCCACAGCTGGAGAGAGCCTCATCCCCTGACCCTTGGCCCCTGGAAGGCCACAGCAGGGCTCTCATGCCCTGGTGGGCCATTGTTGTGCATTGTGCACACTCCACCCACCCGGAGCTCCTCTGCCCCATGGCCCAGGTCTCAGGGTCCCTAGGTTACCCCATCAGGCCAGAACTGCCTACCCTGGGTGGTTAGAGCGTGGATGTTGTCATTCCCCAGCCAGAACTCCCCCAGCTGACTGCCGAAGCCCCGCTTGTATGAGGCCCAGTCCCGAAAGAAGTCCACAGAACCATCGAGCCTCCTCTGGAAGACCTGGGACAGTGAGGTGTACACAGAAGTCAGCATGGGGAACCCAGCCTCAAAGCAGAGCAGGAATCTATGATCCTCAGAATGCTGGGAATCTAGCGCCATAGCAGGCCATTGCAGACCCCATTCATGAGTAAGTGGCAACATGTCCCAAGCCACACCAGGAACAGGAGCGTGCTGGCTCCAGCCGGGCCTCCCCTTCAACTTATGCTCACCCACACCGGTCACTGCCAGCATTTCTGATTCCCTATCTTCAGAGAATGAAGGCCTCCCTCTGAAGGTCAAGGAACAGAGAACCCACATAGCTCATTTTCTGTTGACCATGGAACTGGGGTTCTGAGAGTTCAGTGCCTGAGGGCTGAACCCAACACTCACGGTCCAGCCCCCACCATCCGTGTCCATGTCACACAGCACAGTGAGGGGCCTGCAGTCTGGCAGGTAGATGGTGTACCAGCCAGTAAGAGAGTAGCCTTGGGTGAGCAATTCTTTGCAGGCCCGAGGTCCTGTGGATAGAAGCAGATAATGAGGGTGGGCCCAGGGCCCAGGTATGCTCAGAGAAGATAGACAACCAACCTAAAGTCACACAGCAGGGGCCTAGAAGTGGAAGCAGGGTCAGAGAGTATCTGTATGGGGACAGGGTAGGCGATGTGGTCACCTTTAGCACAGGACTGAGATGGCCCGGTGTCTCCTGTGTGGGGAGAGAAGAGACACTGATCATTAGTGTGAGGTCATCAGCTTCATCCCTATTGGCTCCTATAACCCCACAAATACATGAACTGGGTAATTCCAGGATCTGCCTAGGACCTCCTCTTCGGGTACGTGGTCCCACTGCCTGGCTTTTCCTCCACAGCTGTGGCAAGTGCTGTCCCTGACAGCATCCTTGTTGAGGCTTTGCGTACCAGTGAGAGTGGATAGCCTTGCCTTACTCCCAGCATATTTAGACTATGTTCTGCTAGAATGGCTACTCAGGAGACCTGGAGGGAATTTGGAACTCAGGTAGATCCCCCTCAACCATAAAGAAAGCATGAAGTTGTGTCTTGGAGTTTTATAACTTCTTAAAAATTAAATATCAATTAGAAAAGGATTCAAATCAGTTTTGCTAATCACCCACTTAGACCACTGGCAGGTGCTAGAGCCCTCAGAGTTTGAATGTCCTGCCCCCTGCCCCCTACTGTCCTCACTGCCCAGACAATAAAACCCCAGGCTGAGTTAGGCCCCTCTCTCTAGGTAGGTTTGGGCATGGCAGATCTCTCTACACCCACAGGACACAACACAGGGACTCACCTTTCTCTCCTTTTACTCCCTTCTCTCCTTGGTTTCCTGGGAGAAGAGAACAAGATGCTTGTGCCTAGAGCATCTGACCAATCAGGAGACCCACCAAAGAGTATGGCCACCCCAGGCAGGCACTGCTTAGGGTCAGCTGGTAAGCTGGAATGGGGGTAAGGCAGGGGGGAGGCAACCTCTGCTGTTGCCAAGGAAGGGACCCTGAGGCCTGGGGTAGGGCAGTCCCTCCCCACCTCTCTCCAAGCCCCGTGTCTTCATGGACAGATTGGGGTTCTCATTTAGCATCCCAGGCTGTCTGCCAGGCCATTACCTTTGGGTCCAGTAGGTCCTGCCTTCCCAGGATGTCCAGGGAGGCCACTCTCCCCTGCAAAACCAAATATACTTTCTGAGCAATGCATACACCATCATACCCCGGAAAGTCTTTGCCTAGGTGGCAAACTCCTGACCCTTTCATGCCAGGCTCACTGAGGAGGGCACAGAATGTAGGGTATAGCCAAACCATGGCTGGGCACAGGGGTGTGTATAGCTTAACCTGTGGCTGAGTGCTGGGACCTCAGGCAGGCACTCACTAAGCTCTTGTTTGCTCCTTTTGTCCAAGCTGAGTGGACGAGGACTAGGCTATGGTGGCTTTACGGGTGGGGGGTGGGACAGGGATGGGGACATGTCTTCAGAGATGCTGTCCTACAAGATCTCCATACAGAGAGGGCAGGCCTCCCATGCAGAGTGTCCATATAGAAAGCCGTGGGCCTTTCATGCCTAAATACCCTGTGCTGACTAGTTTTTATGTCCATTTGGCACAGGCTAGAGTCATTTGGAGAGAAAGAACATGGACCGAGAAAATGCCCTCACCAGATTGGCCTGTGGAAAAGGCCATGACCTTTTTCTTGTTTGGTGGTTGATATCAGTGGGCCCCAGTCACTGTGGGTGGTACCACCCCTGTCTGGTGGTCCTGGCAGCCAAGAAGGCAGGCTAAGCAAGCTTTAAGAAGCAAGCCTCCACACCACCTGCTTCCTCCATGTTCCTGCCTCGAGTTGCTGCCCTGACTTCCCTGGCTGTGAGATGAAATAAACCCTTTCCTCCCCATGGCTTTTGGCCATGGTGTTCTAGTACAGAAACAGAAACCCTAGCTAAGATGGCTTCTGGCTCGATGGAAGCTGTGAGGCAGTCACAAGGTCCCTTTGCAGGGTCTGATGGCTGGAGCCACACTGGTCCCCAGCACAACACTGTGGGTGTCTGCGGGAACTTGAGGGTGTGCCCAAGGGCAGAGTGGGCTTGTTCATCCTCTACGGATGGACATGAGATCTGAGAGGAACAGCCTCACTGAAGGGAGGCTGCCGTAGGCCCACTGACCCTACAGTGCCCCAGGGCACACTAGTTCCCACTTTGGGTCAAATCAGCAATACACATTGGTAGCAATTTGGTTATAGGGAAGTGGGTTCTAAGGAAGAGGAATACACCTCCCCCATTGTTGGCTGTCCCATCCTGGGACATACTCTTTCCTAAAGTCCCTCTACATAGGTCTGAGGACAGAAATCTCTTCCCCTACTGGGAACTCAGAGATGAGCATGCAAGTGGGACTTGGCCTGGGGCCACCCACGTCAGCTTCAAGCCTGGCGTCTTCTCGGAGTATCATTGCGGTGTCCAGGTTTGTCCTGTCCATACCAGATCCCCACTGGGCTCAACCTGGGGGGCCTGCAAGCATTGGGCTCACCCAGGCAGCTTTCCTGCTGGACCTCAGGGCACATCTGTCTAAGTTTGACTCAGGACATATAGGTATCACCACTGTCTCCCACTTGGTGAGATCAAGTGTGCTTGAGGTCACCACAAATGCTAAGGCTGTGGTTCAGGGCTCCAGTGATCCTGAAGCAGATCCCAAGATGGAGGCTGTCCCACTCTCCCTGGAGCACCAAGTCAGGAAGGTGCTGGTCCATTTGAGCCTCTGTTCTGTCATCAGAGGCAGCTTTCAGTGAGGATATGAAAGTGTTGCCTAGCTGTCTCCTAGTCACCAAGTGGAGCAAGTACTGCTGGGGACCAGGAAGGGCTGCAAAACAAGCCTGGACCACCTAAGATGCTCCAGAGAAGCCCTCTGGAACCTTTTCAGACAAGTTGGACCTAGTTTTTGTCACTGGCCATTCTGTCAAGGTCCCTGGTGTAAGGTCTAGAGCAGGGAGGGCCTGAGGTAGGCACCCAAGTTCAGAAGACCAGACTCCAGATCCATCTGCTGTTATTGTCTCTTCCATGAAGCTCCTTCCCCAGCACACACCTCTATCTCCTTTGGCACCTGCTTCTCCCTTGGGTCCTAGATCTCCAGGAATACCAGGGCAGCCTCGAAGGATGGCGAGCTTGTTGGAGCCCTCCAGATCCAGGACCTTCACTTCTGCAGAACAACGTAAGCATCGGTTAGTCTTGAGCCACCTGCTCTGAGGGCAACTGCCAGCTCAGCCATGTCAGCCAGGGGCAGAAGGCTGCAGCCAGAATCACCAGCCTCCTCTGGAGAGATGGGGGTAGAAGTCAGGTCTTCCTTTGATGGCAACTAGGTCCATCCTTGCCCTGGGAAGCTGGGCAGGTGGAAAAGGAATGCAGGATAGAGCCCTGCCTGATGGGGAGACCCTGCTCAAGAATGAGACCTCCAATTACCAGTGCTGTGGTCCTTTGACAGATCACCTAAGCCCCCCGAGTCTCTGTCCCTCAGCCCCAAGTGGTTGCAGGAACTAGAGGGATGACTCAGTGATTGAGAGCACTTGTTCTTGTGGAGGACCAGCTTTGGTTTCCAGCACCCATATGGCACCTTACATGCCTTTCTCTGGCCTCTGCAGGCACTAGGCATGCACAGGGTGCCCAGACATACATCCAGGCGAAGCAGCCATACACATTTAAAAATGCCCTTTCTTAAAGAATAGGGCCGTGGCAAGGACTTAGCTTGAGAGTGAAAGCTGAAGTCTTCCATCATTCTGGAATCTAAAGAGAGTTTTGTATACTGTTTCTGAAAAAACAAAATAAACAAACCTTGCTGGGAAATTGAGTCACTGTAACACTTTCTACCAACCTTGGAGGTTGACTGGAGTAGAGGGCTTCTAGAAGGGGGAGGAGGGAATGCTCCAAGACACAACTGTACCCAAACATTTCCCCCTTCCCTTTCCCCCTCCAAACCCTCCCACAAACTCCTTCCCTCCCTGTTCTCCTTCCAATTCATGGCCTCTTTTATCACTACTTGTTATTGTATGCATATATATTTACATAAATATATTCCTAAATAGAACCTGTTGAGTCCATATAATATTACTTGTGTGTATGTGTGTGTTTACAGGGCTGACTGGCTCAGTTGGTGGGAAGGTCAACCTCTCAGCTTTCCTCAATTGCCTGTAGTTATTTGTGTAGAGCTGAGGCCTGGTAGGCTTTTCCCTGTCCATTTTCCTTGCTGGGCTCTTTCCCCTGGGGTGAGCTGTGCCTTGCTGTCTGACTCCCTTCTCTAACTATGTCACCACTTGGGACAGCTGTCCTGTGCTTAGGAACAATATCCCCATGGTGGACAGAGCTGATCAGGGATATTCTTCAACCCCAAATCCTTACCCATATGTACCATGAGACTCTGGAGTGCATTTTACCAAAGTTACCAAAGGGGTGTGGCAGCCACCACATTAGAGGATCTTAGCATTTCTCTCCAAAGTCCCTAAGAAGGCAGAAAACAATGGTGAGGTCTTCTCTTCCTGAGGTCAGACCGAAGGCCTCAGGGTCAGCAGTCACAGGTCCATGAAATCTCCACATGGCCTGGTGCTGGTCAGTCGGAGTCTGTCCTCCAAGGGTGACACTGAGCTAACAGGAGTATCTCAGAAAGACGTGCACAGGGACACTAAGCAGGCATCGAGTGGGTAGTTACCTGCTTTCAGGGATTTAGAGTTTAACTCACCTGGGCAGGTGTCAGCACCATGTATGGTCAGGTCTTTGATGTATAGAGTCAAGATGAACAGTGCAGCAGGTCCCAAGGCCATGGTGACTGCTCAGCTCTCGGCCCTTGCTATAGCGTTGCAGAGGCACTCTGCTCCTGTAGGGCAGGAACACCAGCACCCCACTGTGGGCTCCAGTGTCCCAATCCCCAGGATATAGTCATTTCCTGGAGGACCCTGGTTTCACAAGAGACCTAAAATAGTCCCAAGGGTACATCTGTTCTTCCAGGGGGGCCTTTCAAGGTTCACTTCCCCTGCAGAGACATCCAAGCCCAGTTCGGGGTCACCTCTATTTGCAAAGGACATGCCTTGTTGGTGGCTTAAGTCAAGCATCCCCCCACATTGCCTTTCCATTTCCCATCAGGCTTTAAATCATCCCTTGTGGTTAGGTAGGATTCTGGAAGACGGACCCCAGGACAGTCAGGAACGAGCTGGCCATTGGGAATTTGATGTGGACCTGTGGCATCCTTCTCAAGCACTTCTTGTACCTTGTTGTTACAAGCCACCAAGGAGGAAGAACTTACCTGGCATTTCCAGGTAGAGAACTAAAGTCCCATGGCCTTCAAGGATCAGACACTGAATGGTGTGAGGTCCAGCCAATCAGGGGCTGCTCATCACACCCACAGGTGAAGACATCTCTTGCCCCTCTCCCAGTCCTCCAGCCCCCAACCCCCATCTTCAAGCTAAATTCTGTCTTTTGAGCCCTGTACCCTATGCTCAGCCTAATCTGGTAGTAGTTATTCATCTGAAAAATGTAGACATCTGATGTCCTCACTGGGAGTCAGAAGGTGGTGGGGCAGGGGGTATCAAGGGACAGCTATTTTTGTGGGCCATGGTGCAGTGCAGATCTGTTTGTGCCAGGACAGTCAGATGCAAGGAGAGTCAGATAAGAGACCCAGCAAACATATAGGATGCCTGCAGGAACTGCAATGTTGAGAAAGCATAAGCAGGCATCTTCTGTTCCTCCCAGAGCTGCCAAGCCAGGAAGGACAGGGTTCAGGCTCAGGCAAGCAAGCTTCTCTGTGCCAACTATATTCATCTGGGGTTTGGTCAAGACAGAAAAAGGGAATAAGTCTTTGGACGCTATATGCCAGCTGCCTCTGCCTGCACTGTCCTCCGGGGATATATCACCAGCGCAGTCATGTAGCAGGGGAACATTGCTGGGATGTGGCTTATGGCAATGAAGAATGCAGGTGCCGTGGTTTGAACACAGGAATTTCATTCCTTGTGTGGTAGGAAGTTTGTAGGAATTCAGTTCCTCTGTAGTGTTTGGAGGTAGGGCCAGTGGGACTAGGTAAGTGTACTGATTACTTTTCTACTGCCCTGGTAAAACACCACAATCAAGACAACTAGTAGAAGAAAAGGTTTGTTTGGGGCTTACATTTAAGAGCTTGAGAGCACGTAATGGTGGGTCAGAGGTAGCAGGTGGAAGGTAGCTGGAACAGGAGTTGAGAGCACACCTCTCAAATGGCAAGCAGGAAGCAGAGAGGGGCACTGGAGATGGCGGGAAGCTTTTGAAATCTCTAAGCCCAGTGGCATGCTTTCTCCAGAAAGGTCAGACTTCCTAACCCTACCCAAACAACTCCACCAAATGGAGACCAAGTATTCAAATGCCTGAGACTGCTGGGGGACATCTCATTCAAAACCCACAGTAAAGGGGTCAGGGAGTAAACGCCACAGTCAGTCCTGGTGGCTCTATGGCTCTATAGGAAGAACAAGGACCAGGACACATACATGTTCATCTCCACACACCCACATGTCTGCACATGTATGTATACATATACCTTCATGCATGCACAAACACAACATTCATGAGCACATGTACATGTATACATATGTACATAACAGACACAGTACATACAGACCTGTATATTCATTGGTGAAGGTATATAACATATTCATGCTTGCATCTTTGTACACACACATACACATATGCATAAACCACAAAGGTAATCCTGGCTCTCACCAGAGACCTGTGTCACCACTGCCAGCAATACTAGACGAGGACCCTGGAATTAGCACGCCCAGAGCCATGAACCAAAACAAGCCCCTTTTCTTTATGAGTCACCTGTTCTGTGGTCTGTCAGCAACATAAAAGAGACAAATACAGCCAGGTTCTGTTACATTCAAATACTTTAAATTTGGCTGCATGAGAACCACTGACCTCTGGCCACGGGAGCCTGCATATTCAGGACTGTCAATCCTACTGGGAACAAACAGCAAAAGGTCACAGACTTGTATGAAGGCACAGCCACAACTGCTAAGCTCTGGGAGCATAAATCTTGATAAAAGAAAATAAGGCTTCTGGCTTCCCTTTGCCATGAGAATTTGCCAAACTTGAAAGCTGCTAGACAGCACTGCAGTGCTAAAGGTCAAAGGTCAGGGCCAAAGGCTGGGAAGAGTTTGGGTTTGGGACCCAGAAGTTGGATGAACTAGCCTGTAGTTCATCAGAGGCACCCCTGTAGACTGTCTGTGAGAACCTGTGTGTCAGGAAAAAAGCTCAGTTCCAGAAACATCTTCAAGTCTTCCCAGGTTGCCCTACAGGCCGTCAGCCGAAACCTTTCTGGGGGAGATAACAGCACACTGGGCTTCACAAGATTTCTTTAAAGTGTGTGTGAGTGTGTGTGCGTGTGTGCGTATTGTTCCTATGGAGCTCCTATGGAGCTCAGTAGACAATTTGTGGACATTGGTTGATTCTTTCCTGTGGGTACAGGACTACAGCCAGTTGTCAGACTTGGTGGCAAGTGCTTTTACCCAGTGAACCACCCTGCTGGCCACCACCTTGTATTTTTGAAACAGAATCTCTCAGTGGGCCTGAAGCTTTCCCAGTAGGCTAGCTAGTGAGCCCCAAGATCTGCCTATCCTCATCTTCATTATGTTGGGATTATAAGCACAACAACTGGCACTTTCCTTTTTCTTTATATGGGAGCTGGGTCTTGAACTCAGGTCCTCAAGCTTGCAAGCATGCACTTTACTGACTAAGCAGAGAGTGTTGTCTTTTGTCCAGGGTCACAGGGTGGGAGGAGTACTTGCCTTCTGCCTTTTTTTCCTGCTCCCTCTTTCTCTTCTCACTTTCCTATTTCTCCTCTCTTCCTCCCCTCCCTTCCTCTTTTCAGCTCCTTTTCTTTCACCTTCCTTTGTCAGGAGCTCATGCTGTCACGACCCTGCTTTTAGAAAGCCACCTCCCAGCTCTGTAGTATTAGGAAGTGCTCAGCAACCCTTGGTGGAGGTGGGCAGAGCGTGTGAGGGAGGGTATCAGGCAGCGCCAGCCTCAGAGAAGCAAAACTCCCAGTGGGAGTTGCTGAGGTCAGTCCAGGTCATGAGATAGATACACCTGGGGTTCAGCAGGAAACATTCTTCCCCCACAGCCTGTTTTAATTTCCCAGAGATAATAACGGGGCACAGAGCACCTGCCAGGCACCCGAAGACAGATGACCAGTGCTTGCAGCATAATAGTCTGTGTCAGAGAAAATTGGAATTTATATCTCCTGAGGCAGGGATCTCTTCACACCATGATTCCTGCTTCCCTAGGACTCTGGGAGTCTGCCCTGGGCTGCTCGCCGGAGACACAAACAAAGCCAGAGCACTGCGGAGGAGCTCTACTCCCCAAGTCCTATTTTTAATATCTTAATTGAGTCTATAAGCCCTGGGACAGTATGGAGCAAACAAATCTCACGACACCGTCTTCCAGCTCTGCCTGGGATGAAGGTCACGTTCACCTTCTAGAGTGCAGGTACAACAAATCAGATGAGAGAGGCCACAGCTTTCCTGTGGTTTCCTTCCGTCTTTGTGATTGTTCTTGCTTATTTCTCTGTGTTTTTAAAGCTTGTGAACAAACCAGAAAAATCTGAGAAAATGTCCCTACCTGAGTTAACCAAGTCATTCTTAAAGCCCCAAATCCATCTACAGCCTTTTGTTCCCAGGGCCCAGAACAAAATCTGCTTTGCTCTTGATTTAAGCATGCTGACAGGCCTCTGCCTGCATGCCTGCACCATGGCAGGAGAGGAGCATGGCTTTCATATATAATGCATAAGCCAAGCAGCAATGGATGCAGGGACTGCGAGCGTGGAGCTGTGTGGACCCTGTGTGCTATCCACCCTGGGGCTTCATCTTTGGAGCCACTGCACAAACATATTTACTGTGGATAAAAGAACCGGATGGGGCTGCACAGGACATTTGTTCACGAAAGTGGATTTAATTTTTAAACTTGCGTTAGGACAGGATTAACCTTGCTGAAGGGTACTGCGACATGGGCAGAATGTATAAAACTCATCCCACTATGCACTGCATGGAGAAATGCTGGTGCAATTAAACATTTATGGTACGTGAATGCCTGCTCCTCAGGCTGCTTCCCCCCCACAGTCTCTGAGGGGCAGGCTCTCTACCCTGTGGAGTGGAACGCAGCCTCTGGCACAGGCCTAGGCACATGGTTTTCCTTTTATCCTCCTAGCACACTGACCCTGTCATTCTGGGGACAGGTGGGTGGGCTTGCAGGCTTGAGCATGCATGGGTGTGCATTTATGCATAGAGCAGATTCCCTGCCAAGGCTTAGAGACAGGCTGTCTGCAAGCCAGAGAGCACCTTGTATGGCCTCCATCCTGTCCTGTGGATTGGAGGTACCACAGGTTTAAACAAAGTCCCAGCAAAGTCTCTGGTTGGCTATCATGTCTGAATCAAATAGTGTTGGAGCTTTGTGGAGAAGGGAATGCTTACGTTAGAGAAGGCTTGACCTGCTTGAGAGATCCTTCAGTCCTGCACAAACCAAGATGATTGATCCCTCTAGACTAGAAATTTCCAAACCTGATTAGTGAGTTGAGCAAGCAAGTTATTGCTTCTTTCTCAAGCACTTTATTTTTGCAATTTCCCCACAAACTCTTTCAATAACAAATATTACAAAAGGACCAGCAAAAGAGAACTGAAACCAGGCTAGGGTTCACCCTGTGGTTTCCTCAACAGAACCCAGATCTCTGCTCCAACTGGTGGCTTAGCTGAACCGTCCTTGGGGAATTGATGGTGTATGCCAGCCACATGCAAATGGGCTGCAG